GAACTCAGTCATCTGATTGACTGTAAATCTGAACACCTCCGGTAAACAATTACAGCAAAGTGATAGTGGTGCTGCGATGTAGTAACTAATCCCCAAAAAATTCAGGGAAAAAGCAAATCAATGCAACATCTTCATAACAGCCAAAGAAAGCAGAACCAAAGGGAGCAGTATAATAAATTTGGCATATTCTTCAGTATATCAAAGACAATAGTTAGAATCCCATATCTTTACAAAATGGAAATAATGCAGATTGTCACTCAGTCCATCAAAATATGCTAAAGAATCAAATTCTAAACGGCATGATTGAGAAGATAATGAAGAAACTCACAAGATGCCAATTAGATAACCCAAAATGTGCAACCTAGCAGATGGGCTATACTTGAAGACATAAAATGACTCAAAGGCACGTCTGCAGACTTGAATTTCCATTAACAAGAGCAGAAACACATAACTCCATACCCTGTATTCCTGCTCCACGGGGACCATTCTGTATGCATATATCCATGTTGGAAGCAGCAAAATTGTGGTCCAAACAACAGCAAACACATAGAAATGACAGAAGAATTTCTGAGGAACGGTGAATTTCTGCAATCCAAAAACACAGAAAAATGCTATAAGGAAAATAGAGAATGGCTGCTGAGTGCAGGTAGCACTGCACTTGATTTCATATCTCTTAAATGCATTTAACAATATGATCCTTCCATTTCCGCGAAGAGATAGCGATATAAAGTTTATAAACACCCAAAAGTGAAAGAATTTCTGCTTGGCATTTCGTCAAACAAGAGGAGGTCAAATACAAAGCAAGACAGAGCACCAAAACTTTTACGGAAGAAAGAAATTGAGCACTCACACTTGAAGGCGACTGCATGATCTTCCCTCTCTTGGCGAACCCCATAACGGCACCATGAAAGGAACTGAGTCTAGAACTGGGCATTGAAGCTATTAAAATGGGCAAAATCGTGGCCACCCAAAAGGCTCTCAGCAACCCAACAAAGCTAAGCTCCATTTTTTTCAATTGAAGTGAGAACCACAGATCTGAAAAACACTCTCAGTAATGCCGTGTGAGCCTATGCCTATGACTCAAACAAGGCAGCTTTTAACGAGGATTTTTAATTGGCAAAACCATAAGTTAAGCCCCTGAACTAACCACAGAGTCGCTATTAAGCCCCTAGACTTTAATTGATGCAGTTAAGCCCTTGATTTCTGGGATCAAAGCAATTAAGCCCTTCTTCTTAAGCTATTTATTTTAAAAATTAAAGTCTAAGGGCTTAATAGCGTAAGAAGAAGGGTTTAATTGCTTTGATCCCAGAGTTTAAGGGCTTAACTGCAGCAATTAAAGTCTAGGGTCTTAATAGCGATTCTGGGGTTAGTTCAGGGGCTTAACTTATGGTTTTGCCTTTTTAATTTGTACTGTTTAAAGATGTAATTTATGCAATTTTAGTTATAGATATAGGAAAATATTAAAAAAAATTATCAAAAGGGAGAGTAGAGAATTTTTTTATTTAATAAAAAATTATAAAGGATAATTTTTTTATATAATTTAATATATTATGTTGATTATTAATACTTTTTACTCTTTTATGATATGTTATATTATATAA